GGGTTTGTGGTTGGGGAAGGACACGATATATCCAGGAGTGGTTTTGAACCAGGAAGACACCCCTATTCTATGGGCCGAGTGGTGGGATCCCTGGCACAATTACGGAGATAACCCCGTTGCCCTCCTGGGAAGCCACCCCCGCCCCCCTTTTGGTACGGTCCTGACTCATTGCATATCGCCCAAAGCGAATATACGAAAATCCCGAACGAAATAACCCAGCCACGAAGCGCATTTGTGTTAACTTAGGACAAATTGAAAGCTCGAGGGGGAGCTTGCTCCCAATTTGTCTCCGGCGATACTATTTAGTTTGCTAAGGATTCTACTATAGGCTGTGGGTGCACCCCTCTTCCTAACTACTTCTAACGCGCATCCTCTCTTATATAGCCCATCTTTCTCTCGCTCTCGATTTACTACCGGCTGTGACAATGGCTAAGGGTCTTTGCTATATTGCTTTTGGCGACTAACGCGAGATTCCTTAACCTTTGCTTGGTTCGAGCAGTCTGGAATATAGGATTAATTTGAAATATATTTCAAAGGACGTGAAGCCAACCTCGATAAGTTTTACAATATGGTAATTATGAAGTGTATGAAAATTTCAATCAAATCGGTATAGAAATACGATTGAACGTATATTTTGATATATTGACGTTATTCGATATTTTCAAGTTAAATCGATTGAGACTTGATTAATCACAAAATTGCATTTGAGTTTGAATTGAAATGCAACTGGCTGCCAAGATTATCGTTACTAAGGCATCTTATGCGCTATTTGTAAGTTACAAACGAATTGGTTAATTACATTAAATCCTACGCGCACATACAGTACATGGATGAAGTCCAGAAGCCATACGTTCAGTCGTTCATACGCTTTGGCAATTTCCCGCACAGATTGCTGTTGTATAAACTGCCATTTGGAAGGACTAAAACAAATAGGCCGATTACGTTGTTTCGTGTATTTGTCCTTTTTCGATCGTTCACTCGAGAAATTTATTCTCGTTCCTCTGGATTCGGCTAGCTGGTTCGTATCAATATCGCTGTACCTATTACGCGTGATATGTCAATGAAGCATGGTACATCAAAAGCACCGGTAAATTTGTTTGCATAGGTATACCGATAAGCACGTAGGAAGTACGTAAGCAGAGATACACTTAAAACAATAACAAGCCACAGTATTGGTATAACCCCCTTTACGAGCTTTTGGCGAAACTTTCGTTTTATCAAGAGCCAAATAAATTACAGTACACCTAAAGACACTCTCCTACGTACAGCTGATTTAACTTGCTAACCGTTTCAGCGGAAGCTGTACTCGTTCCAAAAACTTTTACGAAGAGTCACTGAGTAGCGTTCGTATCTATAAAAATGTCGATCCCTTATGCATTGGGTCTTGTGAAAGATTGGGTACAGCACCTGCCAAAAATTATTTAAGTCGATATTCACTTTTTACTTCACAATATGCATTATACGTGGATATAAAGTTTAACAAGGTGCAAGTATACTTTTTGGCGATGGAGCATGGTGAAATAACAAAAAATCTTTTTGTAACAAAATTTATGCAATTTAACCATACATTTATGTACGATGTGTATATGGTTATATATTTAACAGTAGATGAAACCACGTATGTGTTATTCCAGCTGTGTTTACGTGTTGCCATTCTTACCCAAGATACATCCACAGCTACACGCCATTTTCTAACAACTTAACAATATTGTAATGAAACACACGGTACGGTTGATGAAAACGCGAGCAGGTGTTGCGTTCACCACGACTGTACAACGGCTTGGCTTCGCAATTGCGAAACAAGAACCACATTCAAGATATTCGAGCAATTTCAACGTAGGAATATTCATGAGCGAATGCCTAGCTACGCTAGCTACTGTTCTGCCTCTATTCACGGTACAGATGGGCCGCCATTGGCCGAGGTCAGAAAGCTTGCTTTACGAAGCAGGAAATCCATGCGGATGAGAGAACAGATCCAGACTGCAGGATCCACGCTTCGATTAGACAACTTGTGAGGTTCCCATGTGTCGATTTGTGTCGTTGAAATTTATCGTAATCAGGTTATCGGATGAACGTGCTATTGATGGATTTGTAGTATGATTATTTATATGATTATACTATTAGTACTATGTATAGTAGTCTAATGAGGTTTTAAAAACAAACTGATCTCGCCAATCCATTATCCACTGTGGTGTATAGTTTTTTTCTTACTTTTTTTCTTAATAGCGTATAAAATATCTCGGGCTATAATATCGTCGTCCACAGCAATCGAAACGTTCAGAGTATTTGCACTTGGAGAAAAATCACTTGCGATACTCTGTTAGGAAATCTGTGAATTGGTATTTACAAATGCGAAGTGGTTTTTGTACAAGTTTTTCTGAAACGTCAAATATTGCATGTATTTATTAAGCGCGCTGAGGGTATAGTGTTTGCAATAGTACCGTCTCTGTGTACAAAGTAGGTCGGAGCCACCTGTTATGCATATTTAAAAAAATTGCCCTCGCAATTACTGGTTCTACGTAATGCACTTGAAATGATAATTTTATTATTTTACTTTGTTCTTGATTTTCTTGTTTTTTTTTCTGTTTTAGGAAAACCAATGGTACTTCCACCCTTACAAACGATGACGGCGAACGAGGGCGAATCACTCGACGTTGTGGTGGAATTTTGCGCGGCGCCTTCTTACACGAAAGTTTTATGGTTGTCGAAGGAAAGTGTCTACGTTCCCGGCGCTACGGCTCGCGATGGCGTTCAAGCACTTACGATAGAGGTAAGTTTGTTGAGCGTTGTTGAGCTTTGCGATTTTGAGCTCGAGCGAAAATATTTTCTTCAGCTGCGAACGTCCTGAATGCCAAACCGCTCGCAGAAACGTGATAATGGCGCTTTATGCGAGTTTTCGAAATTTTCAAAGAGAATAGGAAAACGGGATATGAAAAAATGAATCAAAGCCAATCGAGTGTACTCTTGTAAAATGTATCGTGAAAATTTCGACTTTCCATGATATTTTTCTCACAAGGGAATAATGTATTCCTCATACGTCGGACATATGTGCATCGTTCGAGTCGCTGTCCAGAAGACCTTGTAAATTGCATTTAAAAGTATAAATTCAGGTTCAGGGAAAAAGAGGTATTCCTACGGGATAGACTCCCCGTGTATATAGTACCTTTATATATGGTATAGTAAATGTTCATACATAGCATATATATACTATCAGTTCAGGCTGTCGATTTGAAACTCTATTTTTTTTTTAACTCTTGCGTATACATAATTTTCAGTATAGACTGTATACTATGATAATATGATGGCTATCGTGTATCTAATTAAACCGATAAATTGCGTCGGTCGGAAGATCAAAGTTTGCAGAAATCCAGGATGCGTTTGAAGTTACGACGTGGCTACGTAGTTGTTTGATTTTCATATTCTCTTGAATAATATATTAATGTTCAGTAGGTACGTAGCAAATGGATTCAGGGGGTTGGTATATTTAAGGGCTGGAGAGGGAATCTTGAATAGAGGACACAGGGAGGGTTCACGATGATGAGGATCCTTCCTATCCCAGACTAAGGGGGACCCGAGGGGTAAAGAGAAGTTTGAAACGCGAAGTTAAATGGAGCAAGAAACTGCGACTCCTTCGTATATGTAAAGAGGAACACGGGGAATGAGTGTGAGAGAGTAAGACAGATTTAAAAAAAAAAAAGAAAAACCTAAAGGTTCAGGCGTCTGTTCGAAATCGCTCGGAATCAGCAGATGTGCGGAACATTTCAATAGAATGAATGCTTTTAAAATATTCTCAGTCTAGAGTCACGGAGGCGTCCCGGATTTCGTTACGCGAGAGACCGTAGATGTACGTCATATCGAAGCTGGGACACCGTAAGGTATCGACAGTAGGTTTAATTGCTTCCGTTTTCACGATTACCGCCATCTTGTCTAGTGGCATTTTGATTGTTGCGTCATCGAGAGAATTATCGATTTTTTGCTAAAAAAAAAAATTGTCCAACCACGGTATACCTGTTTTGGAAATACTCGCTACGCAATAGTAAATTAATTCCGACGGTTCGTAATTAATTTTTTTTTTGTTACATCCACGGAATAAATGACTCCAATTTTTTATTTTATTTTTTTTTTCTGTTTCAGGACGGTGGCACGGAGGCATGCTTCAGGACGGTTTTACGTTTCGAAACTGTCCAATGGTCGCATGCCGGTGAATGGCTACTGCTGGTCCGGTCGCCGGAAGGGATTGCGGACGCTTCCGTTTTACTCAACGTGACGCGAGCATCCGGTTACAGCCACGCCCACATCCGATCACTAAGTTTCCCAAACCTTTTTCTCTGTCTAATCCTATCGGTACTCGTACAGCGCCGTCGTTGAACTGCCGGTTCGCGTGATATAGAATAGAACGAAATCTCTCGACAAATAATAAGGCTCTCGCCCCACGACGCCTCCCTTGGTAAAGGGAATACCGGTGGATAAGAACGATATCCGCCGGAAGTGAAGTGCGCTGTAATGTAGATAATTACTTTTTATAAAGTGAACCCTATATAAGACAGGTTGGTAAGATCAGTATTACGAACGAATTTAATTAACGTTTAAACGCGTATAGTGTCAATAGACGTGTACGTAATAAATTGCTGTACGATCGTGGGACGCGATTGATCGTACTAAAAGGAATATAAGTGAATCTCGAACGGAGCCAATTTAGAAATATAAATTTATTCCAGCTGGCGCAAAACGAATGACACGATATTTCTAGTATCTAAACGTGCTTACGTTGTGACGTCCATAATCGCTAATGCAGTATTGGCCTCAGACCTTCCCGGCTCAATCGGGATATAATTCATTACAATTTATAGTATATTCTTATATATTGTTGACCCATACAGAATATTATCAGCCATCATTCTCGTTTCTCTCGTTTACGTATCCTCGGAATTCTTATTGCTCTCATACACGCCTATACTACTCCCTGTATATACACAGATATTCACTGTATAACGAGTCAATATAGATGATCAGTTTTTTTAAGTGATTAGACGAAGAAATCCTAAACATAAGTTTATGGAAAATTACGTGTATATCGAAACACACAAATTACGACGGTCCTTATTTCTTGATGCGGTCGCAACGGCAAACCTTTAATTAAAGATATTCATTGGCTCAACTGAAATTACGACTGTTTCAATTGTACCGTAATAACGTAACGAGGTGTTGCTAATTGTTTAAGGGAGTACAATACATTTATTTCAAGTTTCACAGTGAGTCTCGTCGTCATTGAGTTTCTGCTAGTTAAGACAAAGGAATTCGGAGGAACGTCATTCCCAGAAAAATATAAAATCATTTTGACATAATTGGACTCGTTTAGTAATAATGGGAACTGTATTCTATGTAAAAGTAATAATTTCGCATTGTACATAATTGTATAGATAATTTATACGTATTATGGTAAAATGGAACGTTTGTATTGTCGTTTGCGAGAAATCTTTGAGATTAATGAGAAAGGACGATATATATATATATATATAGATATATATATAGAAACACACATACTATATGTGTGTACGATGCGGTGAGGTAAAATTTTCTTTAAAGTGAGAATTTTACGTGCAAACAGACGCTTTCGTGGAAACTCGGAACGAGTCCGTGAAAACGAAACCATAACGAGGCAAAACTTCATGGGGTACATGCTGGAAAATACGTCATCGGTTGATGAAAAATTATCGTGCTAAATATTGTAGCATGGTGTAAAGGCGAAATATTATTTAGGGAAGTGACGTCGAGTATTAAGGATATATAGGTAAATGAATAAATAAATTGTTGTATATTATATTATAGGTCACCAGATTTGTAATATGTACATAGGTCATTGTATATGTATATGGGCTATTACACGATATAGCCTATAACGACTTATGTAGGGACATTGTTAGATAACATATATTTATTATTCGTTGATATATTTTTGTAAAGTTTTATTTAGTTATAGATTCCTCTTATCGTCTCGCTATGTCATCTCGTCCGGTTATTATTTTGCTCATTGGCGGTTAAGACATTAAATAATTTTCCTCGTTGCTTCTCGTCAGCGTTCGTCGAAAAAACGGCCGATTAAATTGTCGCGCAATCACTCGTGAAAATTGAATGGGTTATTGAAAAATTCTTGTATGAAGCGAATCTTTGTCATTTATGTAATCTGGTTGCGTAAGAGCGACAGAGAGAGAGAGAGAGAGAGAGAGAGAGAGAGAGAGAAAGAGAGAGAGTAATAAATTTAATTCTTGGCCGTCATGGGCGCATTTTTCATAAGCGAATAAACGTGAAAAAAGTAGATGATGTTGAATTCGGTACCAGGACTTCATTTTGGGTATTTCTATTTTAATTAAAAAAAATTTGTTTGAAACCAAAGAAAGACACAAATTCATACGATAATTTCTCATACTGATATTATAGCATTAAAAAAAATATTTTTTTTTGTACATTATCCAATCCCTCCGTATCTTGTATGTTAATGATATTGCGTGTATGAATGGATACGTTTTCTCCATGTTTATGACCAAAATGATTTTTAAAAATGTGGTATAACTGTTCAAGTGACGAGCGTATATAACAGGTAAGTAAGATTTTCACCCTTATAAGACTATACTATAGCTCTCGTAATGTAATCTTGTAATGGCAGCTAATAATTTGCGCGTTGCAAGTTGCAGTTATCATTAAGGACAAGTATGTGTTCTAAATAGATTTAAATATTGCGATTTTCTGATATGAATTTATTAAGGAGAAATCGCTTTGAAAATTTTCACTTTTATTCGAGATAATGTTTTACATTAAATCAATGGCAGGTTATACATTCGTACGTTATATGTCGATAGGGTTTAACGGATAGTTGAATTATATTCGTTATGAGTCATGGACGCGTTTCGATATATGTGTAATGATAATGTATCTCCTAATACTCGCTCAGATGGAATTAAAGATAATTGCGATCTATTGTTGCGCAAATATATATTTTAAAACTTGTATCCGTAATCGGAACAGATTTGGCCGTAATTGTAACGTGTAGCACAAGATATTGTTGAAACAATTCATTTAACGATTTGCCACTCATTATCATGCAATTATTCGCGCATAGGGGCGATAATGAGTAAAGAGTCTGGTACTAATAGTCATTGCGTAATTTCATTTGTCAAAGTATAAATGTACCGATTGACAGAAAGCCACATTCTGTTTGTAATGCGATTGAACGATTATGAGGATCGAATTTTTTGTCGTTTTGCGAAACGTTGCGAAATTTCATATTGTAAATAAATATTCAATTTTTTTATAACTGTGTGGTAAAGTCTGCGAACGCTTATTTCGTAAGAAATCGGATGCAGGTCTTGTGAATGATTAAATATATAAATAATGAACGTCAAAGACGATCCACGTATTAATTATTGAATGCGACCCCGCATCCGATGTTTTACATGCAAAATAAAAGGATTTTTTTGCGAGGTAGGTTACGGACTTGTTAGTAAAAAAAAGAACAAGGATTAACGTGATCCTTAATTAATTTAAGAGAAAAAAAAAATGGGAAAGTCAATTTGTACATAGAAGTACGTAAGGATAATAAATCAACAGATTAATAGATAATTAAGAACGCGTTAATTGTCGCAAATGAACAATACTATTATCGAAAATTAAAATAACATTGAAAATGCAATAGTGTCTCATAATAATGCCAGGACGTTACTAAAAAAAAAATTCCCTAAACCTTGTCCCTATATATACCCATACCTAGTTCGTCATAATTCTATAGTAATTTCAGATGGACCCCCCACTAACAAATTGTCAAACTACGATACCCTTGAAAATATTGGCAAAAAAAGAGCAACGTGAGAATTTGCAAACGGTGTCAGACAAGTTTAGCAAGAACAATGATTTCGTTCAATTTAATTATGAATGAACGCGAAAACGAGCTTAGCTATACGAAACGTACGAGTTTCGTTCTTCATGTAAAATAGAATGACATGGGAAATCATTACCACCAAAGGATACCTACTTTCAATTTAACTTCACAGGTAATGATGTTCCGCGTGTGACGAAAGATTCAATGAAATTTCGGTACACTTGAATTCCCATATTCTACGGCATCCTACTTTGACGTTTACCATTAACCTAACAAATAATGGCCATCGCGGCTACTATACTTACTATACATATACCTATACCGTCAGAGATTTGATATCCTTACAATTTTGAGAATCGGTCGAATCCACTGGATGCCGTTGAATATTCTTCGTGTGACATGCTTTCTAAACTCTCGTCTCCCCGTAGCGTTAGATGTTTCTGTACGCGCAAACTTTTTTCGTATATAGTATAATAGATCCACGTCGCCTCGAATGCCCCGGGCGGTCAAGTCAGATTAATGGCGCGAGCAGTAGTTTGTCATAGGGCATGCCTTTGTACGCCATCAGAGATAGCACTCGAGAGATTCGTGTGCAAGATAGAAAGAGACAGAGGCATATCGTCCTGCTTGAGTCATTGCTTGAGTCACTCCTTTGCTCCGTTCTCACTCTCCATCTTCCCTCTCTCTTCCTCTCTCTCCCGTCTCTATTTCCACTCCTCGCTACTAAATCCACCCTATTATTTCAACTGCCAATATTACACCCTGCGTCTCTCTCGACTGGCACAAGTCAGTCTAAAGTCTTCAAAAAAAAAAAAAAAAAAAAAAAAACTGGTACGCTTTGATTTTTTTTTTTTAATAAAATCCCTTTCACGAGGTGCAATTTGCGAACATGCATTTATATTGTAAATAACTAGAGGAATACTTGCCCCTTGTGATTGGCATGATAATAATTGATTTTCCTTCCATGCAATCCTCTTTACAAACTGTTCATCAAAATCTGATTTACTCTAGAGCGAAACGAAAACACGAATTAATTTAATTTATATATTCATGATATTATATATAATGAACAGATACAGTCGGTTTTGATAACGTCGTACACCTAACATCGTGCAAGGTAACTTCGCGGATACGTACCGCCATGGTCATTCGACGAGCAGTGAGTGGATAATTAAGATTTACGGAAAATTGATTTTTCATAGAAGTATTTTCGAATGACCTAAACTAATGATTAATTAATTTAAATGGATATCTAAGGGTGACGTAACACGTGCGCATTGTATTTAAATAACGTAATATCTCCTCGCCGACGTGCAACGAGAAAGCCGACGATATATTTACCCGATAATAATTAAAAACAAAATGAAAATGAGAATAAAAAAAAGATTTCGTTCGTTCCGGGGGAGGATTTCTATATTTTTCAAAAGGGTCACGCCTTTCTCGCTGAACGAACGCACTTATGTCGCCAAAGTTACGTGAATGTTAATTATGGGAATAAGTGTAACAAAGCAGTAATGCATTCGACCGACATAACTTACTAATCCTATTATTATACATATAAAATAAACCAAATACCAAATGGCTATGTATTATAATTGCAAGAGCAAAACAATGTTACTTATGTTACAAGATAGTGTTATACTATGGAGTAAACTGTATACGTCCAAACGAATACTTCCAAGAGTTTTCTATCTCTCATTCTAATGTCCATTATGCGCATAGTACCTAGGACTAATCCCATTATCATTCCCCAAGGCCCAATCTACAGTGTAATTAAGAATTAGGACACGGACTACTTTCTTCATATATTCACAAAGGAATAACGTTAATCCAATAATCGTTAATTAAGACGCGAATGGACCGCAATACGGAATTCCGTAAAGGGTAGTACACTGAAGAATCGACGGAAACTCCAGTATCAAATTTATTTCCGTTTTAACGAATTAACCTCGACCAATTAACAACCGGCTAGTAAGAGCCAGAGTCTCGGAGGTTCAACCTTACAAAAGCTGAACAACGTCTACGAGGAGCCCAGTAAATTACTCTTAACTTCTTTGGAGGGTAAAAATTACGGAGTTGTAGGGTTAGGTGGGGCTTAAATCCGCCCCTGCCCCGCTTTCCCAGGGAGACCATAATTCTTGGCCCTATCTACACGGAAACCGTTCCTTGGCTGAATCTAACCGACCCACGGGAATCGCTCGTCATTTATTTATTTCTCACATCCGGCGGGACGCACCTGCCATCTGAAAAAAAGCACACGCGAGCATTACCGGGTATACGTAGCGGATGAAAAGGGCATAACGTTTAATGTGCTTGGAGATTAAGTGGGTTAAACAAATTCTTGTAAAACAGTACGCACGACAGTGCGATAGGTTCTAGTTTCAGCCAATCAGAAGGCTGCCATAAAAAATCAATCCCATGCAAGACGTCAACGTCAAAACGGTCCTAGTTCCTTTCGGATAGCAGCGACGCCTTTTCATTGCTGACTGTCCCCCCCTGAGTAAAGGGCGGCTTTTCAAAAGGACATTCAAGGGTAGCTATGGCAGCCAGAGGGCTGAACGAGCTACGAGAAGAAGATTGTGGGCCTGAATGCTGATTTTGAATTTGGCGCCCTTTCTCTTCCTTGACGTTTCAGGTACGTACCGTACTGTTCCGTGTAACATTAACTGCTTATACGTACGTTGCATATTCGACGTCTGAAGTTAGGCGCTGGCATTCAGTGAGATCCTGAGAGAAATTCGAATTCAATTTGTGTTCCTAGGATTGCGCAAGCTGCGTTACAATTCCGGCTGTCTGCCAAAGGGAGATCCCGTAATTGCTTTATCCACGGCTTAGCGGCGTGTAAGTAAACTTTCATCCCTTGAATTTGACGCCATAAACAAACTCACGGATTTATAGTAGTTTCGCGTTACGGGACGAGGAGATAAGTGGACATAAATTCTGCCTCCGACAGTGATGTATACTCCTCAAAGGAATCATTGATTTATCTATTTGTTTCCTTCCTGTTATCCGCCCGATCAAAACTTTGTTTCTGGTATCGTTTCTTGCCTTTTCTTTATTTTTTATTCTCACGATAAACGCACCTAGGGATACCTACTTGAGAAATTGTCGATTCTTAGTCTTTGCTTTCTTTTTTCTTTTTTCATTTCTTTCCTTCCCCGCTGATTCTCTCGATAAACGGCGGCTAAAGGGGAGCTGCAAGATGCGTAGAACTTCGACTTACTTTTCGACGCGAGTCTCGCGGGATATTGCAATTTTAATTTTATGGAAATTGGAAGACGCGCCCTCGCGATTTCACGAGTTTATAAGGCAGATTCGCGACACGACGGGCTCGGATTATAATGATTTATAACCTCGGCCGAAAATTTTGCAAAGGTACGGGACAAGGTACAAGAGGGTGCGGCGGCTGGGTCCATTCAAAATTTCCACGTGAAAGTTACGCGTCTGCATCTCGTTTCAATGCTGGCAATACTGAGCGCACGATATACGAATTGCATAATGAATGCATTTATTACCCAATGGATGCAAAATGCAGCCACCGCCCAAGGCGAGGGAGATAAAAATATACAAGACACACAGCGAAGGCACCTTAATTTTATGCAACTGTGTCGTCACCTTTATGCCCGAGGAACGAAGTGAAGCTTCTTCAAGGATTTCAAACGAGCTGTGTGCATAAATCGATGGTATAAAAATGTGTGGGAGAACTGCAAGTAATCCCGATTGCATTCGCCATTCGCATAACGTCGACGACAATTGGTTCGTTTAAGAAACTTAACCGAGTTACCTTCTGCACTGGATTATCGATGCGCTTCTGCTTCTTCCGCTGCCGTCGCCCCTTTCGTAGTGTCATTCTCCATAATTTGCCTCCTTGTATGGATATATTCACGTAGACAAGTGGTATCTGATAAAGACGTGGGAAATATAACCAGCTCGTGGAGCTGACTTTGTGCATCGGACGTGAGCATTATGCAGCTATAGTGATTACGGGATTGGCTTTTCAGGTCAGGAGGACTAGGTCGGTATCCACCTATGTTCATTATCTGTTTAACATTGACGACATTATCTGGTAAAGGTCGAGCCTAAGTGCTATGCCCATACTATGTATTTAATCGTCTATACAGGCAAGGTATTACTCAGGTAATTAGTTATCATTTGTAAGCGCGAAAATGAGAAAAATGAAAATGCATTATTACGGCTAGGGAAGATTCTATGAATGTCAATTCTATGTGTTAAGGACCACGTTTGTTGTTGGGGAATGAAAAAAGTTTCGTTACATGAATTTCCTGCATTGCTTGGGTACGTAGAATCTTGTGATAACAATTTGAGAATACGAGTAAGTTACATCCTTACTGGTTTGAAATGATAATTTAGATGTTTTGAGCTCGTGACTTTTTCCACTGGTTTTCACGTGTAGGATGGAGAAAGTACAAGCTGTAGTTTTGCCTGTGTTTGCTACGTTTCGCAGTTACGATCCCGGTACCATTTGATTGCTCGTAAATCTGTACTTATATATATTGAGTCAGAGGTATTTTTCTTAAATTGCAATTTTTATCGTTCAATGTTGATGCTCTTATGCGATGCAATTACCGTGGAATGTAAAACGTACCGAGTCAACGATAAATTCAACAATTTTCCAATAAAAATGAGAAACACCTTTATAGTTTCTTATTCCAGGAAGAATGATATTTGTCGATTGGGATAAGTTTACGATGAGTACGAGCGTACCTAAAATGCACTGATGCACTTTAGCGCTATTGCAATAAAGTGCAATAGAATCATCGAGAATTGGATTGGGGATAACGTTTTCTACGAGATCGAACAATTAATCGTGTTTGGGGAGGGTGGGAGATATAAGCAAAATCAAATTTTGCTCTCTGAACAATGATTCAATTCAATTCAATGATTTTTTACGCCTATAAAACTTGTAAAAGCACGACTTCTCAAAGTTAATCCGAGTAAGCAAGGCAGATGGCAAATTCACGTTATAAAGACGTCCAGCCCTATGAAATTTCTTTCACAAGAAGTTCTTGGACGAAAAGGTAATGAAAGACGTAATCTTGACTCGTGGCGTACCTTAATGCCCACTGGGAAAGAAAGTAAAGAAGCCGAGGAGCTTCTTAACAAAGCGAAATCATAACTGAAACATTCGCTGTTAATATTATTTCACGTTTGAGGCAATGAATGGCTGTCGTTATAAAATTTTTCAAGACCAATGGAGATGGAATAGGAGACGAATATTTAACGAAAGTGACGAATTCACCTCGCGCCATTGTGCCCCTATGTTATTGACCTTAGAACGAAGGCGTACGCGGAATAGCTTTGGTATACCAATACGTATGCCTATGACGAATAAGTAGATAAGAACAGACACGTACAGACTTCAATAGTTATAGGAAGTGAATAAGTAGAGAATTTCAAGGTTAACAGCAACGAGTCTACAATCTCAAAATTTACCTCGAATCGGTAGCCTTGGACGATCGTGAAATTGGGATGTCAAGACATTTCGACAGGCTGAATAGACGCTCGAAAGCGTCGCGACGTATCACTAAATTGTTTTATATAATCGATAGCTCGACTAAAGCATAACACTCCATACGTATTTGTGAATGGGAAATAAGAAATCGAATCAATTTACCAGATCGAATCAATTTTCTTTTTAATTCTTCCTCTTAAACTTGCTCTCGTATCTTTTAGAAGCCTCAAACTCTGTTGCTCTGCTTGTTTCTTGTTAACAGCAGACGACAGACCAAAGTTACGACACTAATTGTTACTTAAAGTGTTTCAAGCCAGACGCGCCACTGTCAGTTTAGAGACGCGGGGACAATCGCAATCAATTTCGAAGTTAGTAGGTCACTGCGCCACTGGTTCAAGTGCACTATACCTAGGATTTGGATAGACATCCTTCTTGGATTCCATATATTATACAACATAATTTCGCTCTGTCACACTGAAGATTATGAAAAAAACATTTATCCAATAAAAGTAACATTACACCGTATAAATTTCATAACCTCTAAAACACGTAGAAAAAAAAAACAACCGAGGATTTCAAGTATATAAAATCGAATGTATCAATGCCACTAATAAAGATAAAGTGTCTATATTTTTGTAAAACGCAGTAGAAAAAATTAAAAAAAAATCAAACTTACTCACCAAACACGTAAGTACGAATATTACAAATTAACGTACAGACAATTGTGAAGTACCTATGTATCGTCAAATTTGGAATCGAAAATCTGAAAGAAATTTGACAAATTTATTAAAAGGTCTTGCCCTTACCTTATACCCTTTACCTTGAGAAGCATTCAATTTGCATCTGTAAATAGAAAGTTATACCGACACACGTGGTCCACTCTCTTATTCTCCATTATCACTCACCGAGGATGTAACCAGCTTTAACCTTAAAGTAACTCTAATTGGAGTAATGACCACCGAGTTTCGAGTATCCAAACTGATGAACCAAATGAACTGCTACGTAACCGAAGATCAGGGTACGAGACGAGACAAAGAGTAGGTCAAGTTCAGTATTACGTGGATGGAGTAACAGTCGAGTTACTCTCGCTTTCATATTCCCCACGCGTACGTACTCGAGCACCCACTATATCATGACAATTTAAAACGTAGCATCCGCATGCAACGTAGATTGCACAACATTCACAATACTTATTTACATAGATGCGAATCCTTCCTTGTCGCAAGATGCTATCACAGCGACCATATAAATTCAGTCAAGTACATCGTGTTCCACTTTTCTCCCTCATTTTTCTCTCCTATCGATGTATTCTCAGCTGGCGCTTCTTGTAATTATAATTAATTGAAAGTTTCGGTGAATTGGTTATAGGTTGCATTGAAATTGTATAACTAATCAATACGCTTGGTAGCCGTGGCAAGAAAGGTCATACTGTGCGGGAATACATCGACTTCGAGTCTGGCAATGTTCCTCATGGGCAACGCATTAATTCGTACATTGGCTTTCTCACCTTGACAATACATCCTAAACTGGCGTCTATTCCACACTTGCAGTTATCATTGAATTTTACACGTTCGCTCGTTAATTATTGCTGTATACTAGTGGTTAACCACGTGTTGGTTCAAGTTCGTGTACTTACTCCTCGAGAAGCTCTCGAGAAGTGGGGGAGATGCAGATGTCGATTCTCGACATATAAGGAACGTCAAGCGACATGGAAGTATGACATTTTTTCGATTGCTCCCTGACGGCACAAACCGGGACCGAATCATGGCTGAGTGGTGGTTCATAGTGTTTTTCTTTGGGACCGCTCTGCATCATGGAGTCCTGGGTTATAACAATCGTGAGTACCTTCTTGGAAATTGTAGCTTTTATTTTACATATCTTTTGTATGCATATGAGAATCGCGCAGGGACATACAATTTTTTGGATCTTGATTCAATTATTCAATCGCTTTGGATAAAACAGCTTTCTTCTTGAATTCTTTGATGATTCACGAGCGAATGAAGAATCTTGAGGTAATTCGCCCTATAAATAATGAACGTTGATTTATATTTTACGTAAAGATACATTTGTCGGAAGATATTCTTATTTAAGTAGAAAATTAAAAATCTCAATCATACGTATAAGATTGACTTTGTCCCGTTAAAAATTCCCTTTTTTTTTGTTACTCTTACCATTAATTATCTCAAATTCCTTAATACTGCGTCTTAAACGGAATTATTTATATCTCGAAATAATTATTAATTAATTAGTAAATCAATGCAAAATTAATAAAAGAGAAATGTTATCCACGAATGTATTATCACTTCGTGCACAGTGAGATTGTAGATAAGATACAGTGCTTGCACGAGCTTCTGATCTAAAAGAGGATAAACTCCCAAAATTTCATCTAATTAATCTGATCGAGTATCACCTGCCACTTGTAGTCACTACCAACGGAAGACTTCTCTGGGGGAATTAAGAAGTAGCAAGAATTTCGCTTAACCTTGTACAACAGCGAATACGCGACCTCCACAATGCGTTGACTCTACGGTTGTCAACGACCCAGCATTGCCAAATTTATAATGTATGCTAATCGCTAACCAGGTCCTCGCACGAGCTAGGTCACATAGCAATATCACACAATAGTATTTCCGGCGCTATAGCGATAGAAAAAAAGAAAGGAAAAATCTCACCACCAATTTATCCATCTCAACCAGAATCCCGACACGAAAAAGGAAGGGCCTCCCTATCAATGGTTAAAGTAAGGGCCCAAATCCAACACGCGATCCCCCATGATCAAAGTAGTGGAAACCCATAAAAATTCGCTGAACTCCTAGAAGCCTGTATATTTTCCCATCTTTCTAACCTGACCATCCCATAGGAGGCAAAACCGTTGGTACACTTCCTTCGGGAAAACGTATCGACCATAGACGATATCCCCCCCAGTTTCTTCCCCACGTATTTTCCTGGCTTGATTTTCATTCGAGGGGGATGAAACGATTTTTCACCGGCAGCCATACCGAAGGAGGAGTAGTTGTCGCTTGGTCCGCCGTGGCATCAGCATATTACCATGACCACGTTCGGCCTGGCTTTGACATATCTATTACGCGTTTCCGAATAGAGGCGACTTCGAATTCTATGCTTGCAGGAAGGGAAGCGTAGAGGTCCAATTAATCAGTCGGGGCGTGAAATGAGGGGTGGCACAGCGCAGGGATTGTGGTGACAGACCCCGCCGTATCTAGCGTATCTGCTCAGGGCATTAAATTCGCGCGAGGTAGACTGTAGGCGGCCGCGAATCGGTTACCGGTCGCCCGTCGGGACGGTTCAAGTTTACATTGCATCGATACCTTCGTATATACTTTTAATGCCGTGTGTTTCGTCCTAGGGATATTAACAGCGGCTTAACGGCTCTGCGGCACTGGCACTTTGCATGGGGTTCCTGAAGATAATCGGCTCCCGATTGGATGCTGGAGTATCTTAAACAAAGAAATTCGTTACGGATAGCGTTCGACGAAAAAAAATAACGTGTGTGCTATTTGCATACGTCTATCCGTACTATCGTAAATGTGCACGCGTTATCTATACGAACGAATAAATTTAATGGCATTCGACAATGAATATCACGTGGCAGTTATCCTTTCGGATAATGCAGAGTACGTAATCGGTATGAATGTAATTGCACTCGACATTCTCGTGACAAATAGAAATGCAAGTCGTATGCTCGTTGGGAATTTGCCTAGCGAACTTCGATATCCGTAATGCCATCTCTTCGCCCATTTTCCAAGCAGTCGAATACACTCACTAAAATTCGCGGCAAATCGCGCTGTCCTATCTCGGTTCGTTAATATCTTCCGTAGTTTACAACTCGTCCAATTTAAAGTTTTGTTATTACAAGAAATTACTTGTCCCAGTACGCTGCTGCTTCAACGTGATATTACGGAGAAAATTCATTGTTTATTATTATCATTGTAATATTTGAATTAACACTGCCCGCGGAGCCGTGACTTATCGTTGCGTTTATTATAATTCGAAATCTCAGCTGTTAGAATACAAACAGCAGAACTTACCGCGAGCTTCAGGCTTATTTCAATAATCTAAACCGTTGCCGGGGGTGCATTATGCAAATACTATGTATTTGTTAACAGTTGCCGACGTGCCGTGTGGTCAGGTAACAACGGGAACTCGAGCAGCCAGAGTTGTTGGTGGTCAGGACGCAAATCCTCACGAATTTCCCTGGCTGGTGAGCATCACGAGGAAGGGCGGACACTTCTGCGGCGGCACGATACTCAACTCAAGATACATCCTAACCGCCGCCCATTGTCTTTGCACGTAAGTGATTTGAGAATTAATTCTGCAATTTTGTGCATACCGATAAATTGCACTCTGGGTAATAAACAGTAAAGTTACACCGAGTCACAAACGTCCTCGTACGATAAGCTACGCTACCCTCGTTAACGTGCTAATTCTTCAGGGTCACGTCTGCGATGACAATTGTTTTCCGGGATACGTCCTAACGATGAGCGATTTTATTTGCTAAATTCGCACGGATTACGTCATCCGATACTATACGACTGCCAAGGATATAGGTGTACGGCGGTAGCGCACGTATAATTAAATGTGCGGGAGGGACGGGAGAGAAGTGGGTCGGG